GCAAATTTTGGAGCTATCAAGAGCCACAACTTCCAGGTCTTTAACACCTTACCATCAGTATGCAAGTTCTCCCTTCTCTTCTCTATAGATTTCCTGTGGTACTCCTTGGAAGAATTTGGTTTGTTTGTCTGTGTGTGTGTCTGTTCCTCTCTTATTAAGCTTTTCCTATATAGAATCTTGCCTGGTTCAATATATCCCTAACATACCTTAAATTTATACCCGTAATTCTTTCTTGCACATTAATCCCAGCTCAGTACTATTTCTTTATTTATCTAAAAGTAGGTGGTGGCCAACTAGAAAGCCTTTGCTACTTTGGCCACCACACATATTCTTATAATCTGTACTTTATTTATTTTATTCTGTAATCATTTGTTGCAACATTACTTTTCTATATTGTAAATAGTGTGTAAATATTGTAAATAGTGTGAAATAAATGAACCAATGAACCAATCTCTAACAATCAAGAGCTTGTTGAGATTTGATCATTTCTTTTATTCCCAGGGCCTCAATGTTTGATTCAAGGGAGGGTGACACTGGTGGAAGAAATTAGATGCTTATCAATCTTAAGGTGCGAGGGGTTAATACTCGTTTGACCTTACCTGCTGACATTTCTGCTGGAATGACATTAGCTTGCACTCCACCCTTAAAAAGAAAAATGCACATATTTTGTTGATTATAATTTCAATTTTAAAACAACAAACAGATCTGGATGCCCCCCCTGCCTTAAAAATGAACACAAGACAATATTGCTATACAGTTCTATTGAAACACTTTTTAATAAAGAGAAAGTTCAAGTCATTTACCTCTGTGATTGTCCAGTTCACTGTAGTTACATCACCAAGCCTAAGATCAGGATTGGAGCTCAACCTGAACAAATTTTAGATAGTTTCAACTCCCTTTCAACTCCACAAACAACTTAAAACAAAAAAACAATTACTTAAAATCATCAAACTTCACTATTCTTTTTGACATTAAGCTTTCAAAGTTGAATAGCAATTAAGAAATTTAACAAATTTTTTTATCTTTTCATGAACACTTCTCTCAGAGGTAGCAACTTATTGCAGCACAGTTTTACACTACTGAGGTATTCTACATGCTGCTTCCATCGTGTGTTTCAGAAAATCACAATGTTACACCATATTCACACTTTAGTCCAAAACTCTCTAAAGTATCTATTGTTTGGTGCTAAGCTTATCTAGGGACAATGCTTATCAGCATTTTTTCTCTAAGATGCAGTATGTATTTTGGGGAACAGTTCTTAATCAGTCAAGATGGTAAATAAAAATTTTAAGATCTTAGAAACCACCTCCATTTCAAACAATAAGCAGTTACATTAAATGCTTGTTCAGTAAGTTGATATCTGGGTGAGATTTCATACCTTTTCTTTTGTTCTTCTCTAAAAGACATAAAGGACTGTACAATCTTGCACTGTAATTCAGGATGGAAAACCAAATGCAATTTATCAGTGAATTGTTTGGTTTGGATTTTTGTTGAGGCTATTTTTTTTTTCTAAAAAATCCAATACTTAAGAAAACATGTGCAGAAACTAAGAAAAGTATCTCTACTTTTCTTAGTTTCTGCACATGTTTTCTTAAGTATTCATTAAGTGTTCATTACATTCATTTGCAAAATTCCTTAAATTTTTCAAGCTTGAAATACTAGCTGAGGTGCAAAGTCTTTCCAAGATGTAACCATATTCTGTTGCTTACAATTTCTTTACTGCAGTGCTTGAGCACAACGAAAAGCCAACGATATTTGGTATGTCTCTGTATACTATGTAAAGACAGCCCAGGGAGCAATAAAGGAGAAAATAATCCTTATGGTACATGAATCTGAAAGTTTCCTTAGAATTCAGTCTAAAACAATTTTAATCCTTGAAAGTACTCACCATCTTTTCTCCAACTGTACCCTCCACAAATCTGGAACCATGGCCAGGAGGACCTTTGCAAATTACTTTTAACCCTGTTTAGTGTACATAACACAATATTCAATATCTAATTACACTCTATTGCTGAAAATTAAACATTAGCTAGTGTGGAGTGTGCTTACTTTAGAATGAAATGTAGCTTGTGTAGCTTTATTTTTTCCATTTCATTTTAGGTGAGCAAGCGAAGCTGGAGCCTATCAGTACATTTGAACCTCGATTATCTGGACTCATGGGGATCATGCGCTGAATATTGCAGATTATCCAGAGTTCAGATAATTTAAAAATTCAGATAATCAAAAAATCCACATAATCAAGGTTTGAATGTATGAACCAAGATTCAGTAGTGTTAAATCATGCCATGAAAGCAACAACAAAAATTAAAAAACAAAGACCCTGTAAAGGGAGAGGAAAGACAAGGAAAACTCTCCTGCTGAGCTCAGATGTTTTATCCCTGGCCTTTAACTTGCAGAAGTGATTAACACAGAATGTAACTTCTCACCACACTATTCAACATACATTATTAAACAAACATGTAATGAGAATACTCAAACTCATCAGGTAGAATTTTTTATCTTCAAGTTGATCTAATGCCAAATTCTTGTGACTCATTTACAAGGAAATATCTACCAGCTAGAGGGGAGAATTAAGAATCAAATCTCGGGAGTTGAAGGGCTATGGTACACTGTTCTTTCCTCCTTATTATCCTCTAAATCTTTTGGTTTGCATTCACCTCTGTCATTTCTTCCTCTGACTACAACTCAGCTCAAAGTTTTCCCACCCCAGATGGCAAAATGAAATGACAAAGACTGTAATGCAGGCCGAGTGGGATAGGTACCTCTATTCTGGGACATCTCATAGTTCAATAGTTCAAGCATGTGAGGTGGCAAATGTCATGATATAAACCTTGCAACTTACATATCTTTAATAACTATGAAATGATTCAGTGGATATAATCATCAGCAATTCAAAGTCAAAATGGAAAAGACACTTACACCATACAGATCTCTCCCCATAAAATACTGTGAATGCATCTGTTGGGTTTGCAAGCCCTTAGGGCAAAAATCAAATTATAACAAGATTACAAATAGAAATAATGTCAGTACATGTAACTGCCATTTGATTGAAATCTCTGCTATGACAGAGACAATCACTGAATTTTGCATACCTTCATCCAAAGCAAAACCGACATTGAGGGATTTAAAATAATCCATTTCCACAAATTTTTTCATTCCATCCATTCCACCAATCTCTTCATCTAAATCATTAGCAATGCAAAAGTGGGAGGAAAAGAGTAATGTTTTCAACAAATGTTATGTAAATTTATTACTTGCTTTTGAAAAGTGTGTAAATAAATGGAACTTAAAAGAAGGGGATATACCTGGAACAAATGTAACATGAAAAGTCCTACATGGGGTGAACTGCTGTGACTGAAGCTTTCTTATTGCTTCAATGTACCTATTATTAAACAAAAAAACAAACAAACAAACAAAAATTTTATTAGGTAACTCATTGAGTAGAAGGCTTCCTTAAATCAAGAAGCTTGTGACTTTATGAGAACTAATTTCCCTTCTGTGGCATAAAAGTCAATTCTTGGCACATTTGGAAACTAATACACATTAATAAGGAAATAATCTAAGCCATAACCATAGTGCATGGTTTATTTTGGCTATCTACAGCATATCCACAGTACTTTCATACCTGTATTAATTAATAAGCAGTCACTCAAGGGTAATGGTGGAGTGACCACTTAATATTATAGCTAGGTTGACTGCTAAATACAGGATCCACAGAGAAGGGGTAACATAAAAAACAATTTAAAAAAGCCATTTTATGTCACAATTGACCTCTTGATGTACAGGAATTCACTCAAAAATACTACTAACATTGATTTTGAGAGATAAACATAGATTAGATTTTACTTGAAAGATGATTCTTAGTTTTATTTGAATGGTTCGCTTTTAAGTGACCATTCAATACAGGTGAAGAACACTACAAACAGGCCATTGGTATTCAATAAAGGGTAATCACAACTGATTAATAGAGGTTTATGGAGCTGCTTCATGCAGGTTTAACTGTGGTTATACATGCAGGTAAGATACAGTCATCAAACAAAGTAAACTAACAATCTTTATTTACTTACTGGATGCCAACACATTTCATATCCTAGGAAATAAGAGAAGAAAAAATTAGGCTTTTACTTATATTGTAAATAACACAATTCAGAATTATAATTACTGTAGATCTGATTTCTGATTTCTGTTAAGCATTAACAACAAGCCATGATTCCAAACCTGACTTCCACGGGCAAAAATATCACCATTTTCAGTCTTGTGGGCAGAGAAGGGATCATATGTCCAGTTTTCCTATGATGAGATATCAAATAAAATTATGATCAACAAACTAAAAGTAGTGAGTTCTGGCCCCTTTTATTATTTTTCCCCATTTTACCCGCCCATCACAAGAATATCTACCAATTACTTATTCACAAAGTAGTACCCATTTCTAAGAATATAGCCTGCAATACAGGCATCTTATAAGGGCCTAATTCAATGTTACAGACTTGTAATCATTTATTTGACCAGCTATGTTTGATTTAGAATTAGAATTAGACTGGGTTGTGAAGGGCATGAAGAGGGAGGAGAGGGTGGGGGGGGAGATGGCAGGGGAAAGGCCCTACCACACCCCCTCTCCTTTCTTTTGACAGTGATTGACCCTATCGATACATTTCTCTCCCCACCTTTCTACTACATTACTATAAAAATCAAAGATGGCTGTACTGAGCACTTGCTTGTCAAAATTTTGCCATGCAGGCTACTAGGAATAAACAGGAAATTAAAAGAGGATTTCCTTTATGCCCATGTAGCCTCATCTAACACAAGCAAAGTGGGGAGGGGGGGAAGGTCATCCTTCAACAGTGTTGCAGGTTTGTGTATCTATCAAGAAGTAAGATAATTGAGATGAAACTTTGCAAACACCAGAAAAAGTGATGTTAAATCACAAACTCTTCTCAACATGCCATAAGACCAAGAAGAGCTTGCATGTAGTATCTCAGTTATTCTATAAAATCATACATCTTTTGGGGAACTTACTGGAAATACTGGAACTACATCCATGTGACTGTTTAACATGATGGATGGTAAATCGGGTTGTTTTCCTTTCCAAGTAATGACAACAGCCACAACTTTACCTGACTCGGCATTCTAGCAGACAAATCAAAGTCAAAATCAAAATCACCCAACTAATAATGGATTTCGCATCAAACTCTTAGCATAAACAAAAGGTCAAAATACAGCTGGAATGGAACCACACTGGTGAGGTCCTTGTGGGGTTAGTCTTTAAGTATACTTTTGAGAGGAGGAAGAAGGAGGAGGGGGTTATGTTTTGCCATATCCTACCATACTACCCAATTCCCAATAGCAAAACACAGAACATGGATCCTGTTGTCCTTTTTCCTGGGGTAACTTCTTTGGGTGTTAGAAGTTTAAAAATTAAAGGCTGGCATGGCATAGGGTTTTCACAGAAACAACAGGGGGTTTGCAGAAACAACATTCACCCGAATAACCCGATCATACTTCAGAAGAAGGCAGTGTGGCCCTGTGGTCAGCGTGTCAGACTCACAATCTGCCACTCCCGGGTTCGAGTCCCGCCCTGACCACTACCTGGATTTGCTTCACAGTAGCTCCAAGTTCAAATCCTTGGCCATGCTTGTAAATGGCCAACTGGTTTGCCTTAGGCCAGATGGGATTCTTAATAATGTTATTTTCAATTTGAATTATTTGTTTCAGTTGTTTGGTAGAAAACCTGTAAACTAGCTTTCAGCTTAGTGTTTCTTACTCTGCGAACAGAGCCTTTTTAACCGTCCTCGAATCGAAAAGGGAAAAAGGAGGGTTAAGAAGAAAAGAAGAAGAAAAGAAGAAGAAAAGAAGAAAAGGCTCAGCGCTTGCAGGGTACGTGTTTCTCCACGATAAATAAAGATTATTATTATTAAGATTATTAATTCATTGGATAAAAAAACTGAGCTACACCGCGACAACGCAAATCCCAACGTGCTCCTCTACCTTAAACAAGAGCTAAGAGAGAGGTAAGACGTCCAGTAACCAAGTTTTCCTCTTATTTGTAATTAATCAAATCATTTTCCATGTTTAAGACCATTCAGTCTTATTCCGGGCTAAAGAATTCCGCATATCTACCTTTACACATTTAAATGCGAGATCAAGTTCCTCAGCTATCCTCTTGAGGAAAAGAACGGCGCCGTCTGAAATATACAGTAAAGTTGAGGTGATCAGGTACGAACCATTCAAGAAAATTTCGCTATGTTCATTTCATATGGATTTCAAGACATCAAAAGGAAATAATCCTTTCTTCAAAATGCACTCACCATAGTCCGGGTTTGGTTGAACAGTTTTTATCTTCAAATACTCTCTAAAAACTGTAACTGAAGGGTTTTCTTCTTTATGCACTTTAGCTCGTTTGGTCGCCAACTTTCCTTTCGTAATCCTCGTGACAAAATAGTGACTTCTTGCAGTGATTATTCCCCGCCTCCCCTCAGCTCATTCCGAAAATATAAAAAATGATTGAGGACTAAGCTTTTAACCCTAAATTGCTCATAAGCTTCTGATTAGGGTTAACAGTAAAAAAAAAATTAGTAGGAAAAAAAGAAAGAGATAATTTGAGGTTTGGAAACGAAGACATTAATGTTTCTTGTCTGTTGGACTTGAGAGGATAGGGAATGCTGGGAGCTTTTTGTCACGCAATCTCCGAAGACCCTAATGTGCTTAGTGAAGCTACTATTTCTTGCCCGCCTAGGGCTTTTCCGTTCCGGCCAATTTACGAAGCAGGCTTTTTGTTTCGTTTCCTGAATCAGCGGGTAAGGTTATCAGATTTTTTTTCATTGCACACACGAGTTCGCTGTATTGCCTTTCGGTGAGTTTGGTGGAGTGAAAATAAATATAACACAAGATCAACCACAATACTTTATCGCGTTGGCGCGCGGACAAGGTACGTAAACAAATTTTTTTTTCTTCATAACGCACTGCAACGAGAC